CCTTCCTTCCTTCCTTCCTTCCTTCCTTCCTTCCTTCCTTCCTTCCTCTCTCCTTCCATCCTTTCTCTCTCCTTCCATCCTCTCTCTTTCCTTCCATCCATCCATCCTCTCTCTCTCTTTCCTTCCTTTTCCTTCCTTCCTTCCTTCCTTCCTTCCTTCCTTCCTTCCTTCCTTTCTTTCTTTCTTTCTTTCTTTCTTTCTTTCCTTCCTTCCTTCCTTCCTTCCTTTGTTGCTTGCCGCTTTCCTTCCTTCCTTCCTCTCTCCCCCTCTCTCTTTCCTTCCTTCCATCCATCCTTCCGGGCGCTGTCCAACCCATCAGCTGGGCGAGGAGTGGGGGAAAAGGGGAGGGTCTGCTCGCCGCGGTGGCCGCTGGGACTCGTAGTTTCCCCACCCTGGGAGGGCTGCAGAGCACCAGCCCCCCCCACCCCAGGAACTACGGCTCCCAGCCGGGCTTTGCGCGCGATCCACCGCTCGGCCTTGGAGATCTCTCTCGCCCAATTGCCAGAGCATCCCACTCATCCAACCCCCTCCGCCCCATCATCCACTCCCGGGTGGTGGCGGTGGTGAGGAATGCAGGAGGATGAACCCGGGCTCCGGAGGGTTGGGGACGGCGGAGACCCCCGAGGCTGCGCGCGGGGTAAGGCTGCTTGCGCTCGGGGTGCCCCCTTGGGGAGGGGAAGAAAGGCACGGCTCATCCTGGGGCTGCTTGGGGGAGGGAGGGGGTGGGGGGGGGGGTTCAGATTGGGGGGAAGGAGGAGGAGGGGTCGCCCGGCCCCCAGCCTTGGGATGGGGAGGGGGGTGTCCGCAGGCAGCGCCTCAGGTCCGGACCGGACTGAAGGCCATGCAGGTCTTCGGTGGGTTTTGCAGGCATTTGTGTGTGTGTGTGTGTGTGTGTGTGTCTGTCTGTCTGTCTGTCTGTCTGTCTGTCTATGTGTGGCTGTGTGGCTATCTGTGCAGAAAAGCCCACGGTGGGTCTGGACGGGAGGACAACCGCTTGGCAGCAGGCAGAAGAGGAGGAAGAGGGAGAGGGAGGGGGGGAAAGGAGAAGGAGAAGAGGAGGAAGAGTAGAAAAATGGGGAGGAGGAGGAAAGAAGAGGAGGAGGAGGAGGGAGGAGAAGAGAAGGAGGAAGAGGGGGAGGAGGAAGGGGAGGGGGAAAGAAGAGGAGGAAGAAGAGAAGGAAAAAAGAAAAGGAGGGGGAAAGAGAAAAAGGGAAAGGAGGAAGAAGAGCAGGATAAAGGGGAAGAGGAGGCAGAAGAGGAGGAAGGGGAAGAGGAGGTGGAAGAGGAAGAGAAGGAGAACGGGGAAAGAGAAAAAGGAAGAGGAGGAAGAGAAGGAGAAAGAAGAGGGGGAAGAGAAGGAGGAAGAAGAGGAAAAGTAGAAGGAGGAGGTAGAGGAGGAAAAAAGAGGAGGAATGATAAGAGGAGAAGGAGGAAAAAAGGAAGGGGAGAAGGCTGAGAGGGAAAGAGGAAAAGGAGGAAGAGGAAGTTCTGGAAATCATCCTCCTGTCCCTGTCTCATCCTGTGACGAACTCTATGCATCTTGCCAAGGAAGAGTCAGGCAAGCAAGGTCATTAAATGGGGCCAAACTCCCTGGGCAAGCTCCACTTAGCAACCAAAGTATTGGACTCAACAGCGGTCACAGCTTGAGGACTAGCTGCACTATTATTATTTGGAGGCCTTTGTGTTTGCTTTGCCGCGATCCCCTCGGAGGTCATGTAGTCCAACCGCCTGCTCGAGCAAGAGACCCTTCAAGAATCCGAGAATGGCAAAGAGTTGGAAGGGACCTTGGAGGTCATCTAGTCCAACCGCCTGCTCCAGTAGGAGACCCTACCGATGGCAGCCCAATCCGATCCTAGGGAAAGTTGTCTCCCATGTCCGGCATTCCTTGAGGTGTGGAAGCGATGAGGGTCGACCTCCGTCATGCACGTCTATCTTTTGCCTTTTGAGTGCAGGCCCAGCATGGAGCCCTCGGCACGGCTGGTGCGGCCCTCACAGCGCTGGACCAGGTGACCTTTGAGGACGTGGCCGTGGATTTCTCGTTGGAGGAGTGGTCTCTGCTGGAAGGCAGTCAGAAGGATCTCCACCAGGAAGTGATGCTGGAGTTGTGCTCTTTGCTTCTTTCACTCGGTGAGCTTCTCTCGCTTTTCCTCCCCGTTCGTGGTGGGGTGGAAGGAAAAACAGCCGAGGGTGATCCCGGGAGGTGGGGGGGAGAGGCATGACTTCTGTGGACTCAGCTTGTGGCCAGTGTTGTGGCCCGCTGGTGGATAGCGGAGCTGGCAACAGAGTTGGACAGTAGTGAGGAGATTGAGGTGGGACCTGGGCCAGTCCTGGAGGCTGAGGAAAGCTCGGACGAGGGCTCTGCGTCAGAGGCAGAGATGGGGCCATGGCCGCCTGGCAGTCATCAGCTGCCATCAGAGATCAGTGGGGCAGAAGAACAGCTGGAGCCTGTTCCCAGTGACCACAGCTAGGGAACAAGGGTCCACGTGGGATTAAGGCCACAGGTGGACGGTGAATGCCCCTCCCATAGGGATTAAAAGAGGAGCAAAAGGGGAGGGGGCTTTTGCAGGAAACAATCTGTTCGTTGCCACAGTGGGAAGATCTGTCTGTGCATCTCAGAGACTCTGTGCCGAGTCCTTCCTTGTCAGCACTGCGTTTGGAAATAGTTACTTGGCAGCTCTCCAGGCTAGATCAGGGCTGTGTTCCTCATTACACCCTTGAAAGGCTGTTGGCCAGGCCTTTGGCGGAAGGCGAATGCAAGAAATTCGCCTTCGTTTAATAAAAGGGGTTTTGCCGGGACAAAGAGTCAGCTTAGTGCTTTTGGGGGAAGCCGAGGTCAGAACAGTGGGAGACTGTCCTGGGAGTTAGAGGAGGCTGCTGGGGATCGGGCCCTGCTCCATGCAATAGCCCACAGGGAAGAGAAATGGGTTCTCTTGCTACGAATCTTCCCGAGTAGAAAAAAGAAATCCCAAAAGTTGGAGAAGAGGTGCAAGCAGAAGACCGGGCCCTCCTTCTCTTGTAACTCTCTCTTTCTGTCTCGGGGCTCCTCTTTGCTCTCTGAGCTGGGTGTTTTTCTGGCACAAGCGTTCTATTACTGATGATGTTCCCTAGTTGGGTCATGAGATGTCTGCAAGGAAACCACCCAGCTCAGAGAGCACCAAGGAGCCCACAGTCCTCCTCCGCCTCTTCTCTTCCCCTCTTCTCCAGAACCCCCCACCCCCGCTCCCTTCTAGCACTGATGACGTTCCCTAGTTGGGTCATAAAACGTCTGCAAATAAATTACCAAGCTAAGGAGGTCTCCAGGACCCCATAGTTCTTTTCTTCCTCTTCCTCCTCCTCTTCCCTTCCCCTCCCCTCCTCCTCCTCTTCACACACTCCCTCCTTCTCTAAGGTCTGCCAGGAAGCCATTA